CACTGTCTTGGTTGACAACCAACGTCGGTGGTCATACAAAGAGATCAATGTCAATAAGTTTCGTGATCGGTATCGGTCAAATCGGTGGCATTTTCATGCCTCTAGTGAGACGACTGCTTGTAAAAGCTTATAGAATAACCTATGAAGGCCATTTTATAACATATCAATATCTTTAAATAGTATTGATAGTGATGTTTTTTTTCGTAGATTTACAGAGAAATGGATAAGCCAACCTATCGACGTGGACACTTAATCTGTGGTGGAATGATTGTTGTCAGTATAATTGCTACCATTGTTTTACACATTTATTTAATGAAAGAAAATAAGCGGCGAATATGTTTATCAACTGAGGAATATACACGTGAAGCTACTATCAAAGAACCTTGCGATCGAGTAGATGAATATTTGATTTCTTATTTTACAACGTGTATTTTCTAATTATATTTATAGCATCCCGATGTACGATACTCGTCATGACATCAAGACGTTTGTATCTATCAAGTTGAACATGAAAACTAACTATTTCCAAAATTCATTCATTATCAATAAGTCACCGTCAAATAATAAAAAAATCAAAAATTACCTCCGAGGAAGTGAGATATCACGTGTGCTTGAATATTTACGCATATAATATGAAAATATGCAACGTATTTTATATCTAATTAATGACAGAAAAGAAAACGCTTTGATGTCAAAGAAAAGGTAGTAGCGAAAAATAAATGCTACTGTTCTAGACACGTGACGCACATTATTAAATAATACATAACACATAGTCGTAATTTACTTTCAATATTCCTAGCTTGTTTATACGACCATATAAACAGATGACGATAAATATGAATTTTTTTTCTCTATAATTCTAAATGTTCGCTGAGCCAAATATGTAATAAATGTGATCAACCATTGATCCATTTTTTTTTATTTGAGCTTTTTATAGTTTTTAAATTCATGATGATACGAAAGTACATGAAAGTGATAATAGTAATAATAAAATAGAGGTTTTTTCGAGAAGAAAACAACCGAGACTTCAGCCTTGAGGTCCGATGAAATCTTTGAAGTTTGATGAAGTCTTTAGAAGTCTTGAAGTCCGCTGTTTCTTCCTCGCATTCAAGATTGATTGGTGAAAGTCGTTTGGCGCCCTAATATTGAATGGTGATGGATTATTCCACAATTAGACACAGTGAACACAGGTTAGATGTCGAATGGCAAATGATCGCTCTTTTCTATTATTTCATTAAATGATATGATCTCAGGATTTTATCCATCAGAATCATGCTAAAAAGCGAAACAAGACTAATTGTATGTTTTGACTGGTTTTATATAATAACTGCGGCTGGAAACATGATATTTTTTAATAGTTGAGGTACCGCTATGATGTTGATCGCATCAGACAAAAATGAAGTAAAGTTCAAATAGTTGTATATAGGAAGTAAATGTGATAGATTTAATCTGCCATCAAAGTACTGAAAAGGATAAGTATATAAAAGATGAAGTGATCAATAACTAAATGACACGCTGTTTCAATTAAACAGAAATAGATCATGTTCATGTGTGTCAATAGCTCTTGTAAAGGACTGAAACATATACGGACACGATATTTATATTTGAAAGTCATCTAATTGTTGCTGCTGAATATCTAAATTTACTTTTTCATTTTTATGTAGTCTTAAAGGTATTTGAGAAAAGACAAAATTTTCAATTAAAAATAAATTTTTGGTACTTGAAATTAATTTAATTCGACGAAAACGATTAGAAAAAGATAATTTTCTACATTCCATTTTATTATAGAATGTTTACAGCTTTTTATGAGTTAAATGAAAAGTTTCAAATGGTCAACTATGCGCTCTGAAAAAACACATGAAAACGAATTGAAAAATGAAATTTCATATTTTTATTATCATACAATGTATCGTCGAGTTAGCAGTGTTTGTTTCTAAAAACTTAACCTATTTTTCATGTAAATAGTGCGATTATACTTCAGTAACAGTTGTAAAAACACATTATAGTCGAAATATTAAACTCTAACTTGATTATACAGCGAACATTTATGATAAATTGCAGTCATTGAAAAAATTGTTGAAAATGATGGTTGATAGTTAGAAGCAGAAGATTGATCTTTTAGACGATGAGGGATATCTTATTGGTAAGTGAAAATTTGAAATACGTGGTGTAGATTCTGATTCAATGACTATTTATAAATGTTTTCTTTCAATATTTTTCCATGTTCGAACTGCTGAACACATTTTTCATAAGAAAGACTAAGGCTGGACGTAGCTTTCATCAGATGCTTATCAAGAGAATTTGAAAAATTCTAGCTCATAATAAAATATTCATTTCGAACAAAAACTAATAATCATCTTCATTATGTGGTATAACTAACAGAAAGCCATATTTTTAGAATGTGTGCACAGAACATGTTGGAAAATTATTTGATAATAGCCGCCAAATCGATGGAAACAATCAAAAATATAGACAGATTTGATATTCAAATAAAAATAACTTCTCCAGATAAATAAATGATAAATCAAATTATATTTGTAGACAAATCTTTCAATTCAAGTTGAATCTTTCGAATAATTATACTTAGTCGTGCGAACACATCTTTATTCTAACATCAAACCGAAATAAGACATAATAAATCCATACCTGTTTGCATGTTAGAGATTTTATACGAAACGAAATAACGATTAATATATTGCTATACCCTCATTTAATACTTGTTTAAAGAAACATGACATTTGAGATTAGTAAAGAATTAAGCGTAAAGTTATTTTTATTTTGGAATATCCATCAGACAGGTTCACTGCTTTTCCAGTGGAATAAAAATTTGGCCATATTTACAGTAGTAACATACGACGAAGAAGAAAATAAAAAAGTGAAAAACAAATTGAATTGAAAGTAAAGTTACTATGAACAAATCTATAGTTCTTTGTCATGAAGTTCAACATAAAAATTTGCTTTTTCCTATTGTAGTCTTTTGTATGCAATAAAATAAAAGATTTCATCGATTACAACGATTTTTATATAATTAGAACCCTCTACTATTGCTATAATATATTTAGAAATGTTGTTCAAGAAGTTGTGGGTGTGGGTGTGGGTGTGAGTGAAGAGATGATCCATAGCGCACACCCACCCACACTCACACCCACACCCACACCCACACCCACACCCCACACCCACAGCCACCCACACCCGCACCCACCCTGAAATCGAACAATGTCTCGTTTGCCTGTCTTGATCACTGTGTTCGTCTTTATCTGTATTCTTACTGAAAGTGATCAATTTTTGCTCAAATCTCATTCATCAACAATTAAAACTGCTTCATGTTGTCTTCAGCATTAGTCTCTATCGAAAGCTTCAACGAACGATCAGATCGATTTATATCTGGAGAAAATTATTCAACAATATCATCTAATATTTCTTCAAGAAATTATCGATACATCAATAGATAATCAAGTAGTTCATTTTTTTCTCAATCATTTCCAAAAACAATCAGCAGTGTGAGGTGAGAGTCGGTGAGTGAAGAAGAGATATTCACTGGTCTTTATCCCATCCCTCAATTTCTGATCAAAAATATTTCTTTCTTTTTGGAACATACAAAGGTATGTTCATAAACTGCTATAGTGGATAAATTCTCTTTTATTTGTTAAAGAAAAAATCTATTGCACAAAAAAATAAAGTTACTATTTTGTTTTTACAAGGCTTCTGTTGTTTGCCGTGTTCTAATTTCTTTACAAATATTGTTAAAGACCGGCTGCAATATAATCTTTTCGAGTTCACTAAGTACTTCAAGTTCATCATGTTCTGTGATAAAATCTGATAATCGAAATTCTTGTGATTTTAAAGCAAATGTTCGAATCTTCTTAGTATAATGGGTAGAGGAATTTCTATCTTGTTTAAATCGTAAATGCTCAACAAGAACTCCTGGTGCTAATCCATATATAATAGCAATATCATTAATGATATCAGCAATTGGATGCATATTAATCCAATTTGGATCATGATCAATATAATATTTTAATCGATCAAATTCACGTGGTGAGTACCAGTACCAATCAATTGCTTTTTCTTCCATTTTATCCATAATTTTATCCAATAATGGTGCCATTAAATCAGCAATAAAATTTGCTTTCTTCACGGCTAATGAATCGGCTTCAAGATTAACAAGACGTGCTTCAATATTTATCATTTTAGTTTTCATTTGATGTAGATCTTTTGCGAGACTCTTGTTTACATCAATTAATCGTGAAAATAATGTAATAATTGTTTGTCGTATTTGAGATAGAGCTGAGCTAATCACCTGGTAACCTTCAAGTTCAATATGTTTTTCTTCGACAGCTGTTGCAATTGTAGATTCAAATTCTTCAAATGCATTGTTGATAGTTAAATATGTTTCGACATCTGTTGTTGTCAATTCATCAGTGTCAAGCATATTCTTGATTTGTGTGATGCATTCATCGAAGTGCAATTGTTGCTTTTCATATGACCAATGTTCATCAAATGATTTAATATAATATTGTAAGACAGATAAAACATCTTTTGTTTTAATGCTAGATGCTACACTTTTCTCTAAAATTAAATTTTCGAGAACATTTGCCAAATATCGAATTGGTGAAGTAGGTGATACTGATGACATAACAATTGATACTTGAATTAATTTTTCAAACTTTATACCTGAAAAGAAAAACAAATAATTCTTGGATAAAAAAAATGAATGTATACGAGGAGAAGTTAGCTTTATCGATCATATAATAAT